CTCTTGCCGCAATTTCTGTCTCACAAGCATTCTCCTTCCCAGTTTACTCACTAAAAAAATAAAACAAAACTGAGTTTTTCCTTCTCAGAATATCCCTGTTGGTTCTCTGCTTAGCACATATTTTTAAATACATCCCCAGGTTTCTTCCACTTCCACTTTACATGCTACAGGCTCACTATCTTTAGGCTTTGACGACTTCAGCACTAATCACAGAATACATCCAGGTTTGATCATAATATTGTACATGGAACTACCTTACAAGAGGGGTAGATGGCACCAGGGTTCTGTTAGACCAAGTCAGATGATAGCCCTGTATGAATTCTAATATTAATGACTAATATAACTGCAGAACACCCAGAATTGGGCTCTATTTGAACCTGGATTTACTGCCAAGCTATACCAAATTTAAAAAAATTGAAATCTTTTCTAGAAACAATATCCAGAGGAGGATTAGGTTGCTGGTAATCATGGCCCTCAAAAGCAATGCTGTTTATTTTCTTCCTCCTTCTACTATTGTTGTTTATATGTCATGTACTTTTATCTGGAACTTAAGGTATGTCACATTTATCATCAAATTAGGAGTCCAAAAATATAGTTCCAAATTGAGTTTAGGGCAGCAATAGCCAACTGAGGGTTTTAAATTCATTGGTTGTTAGAAGGAAAACAATGCTTACAATTTTCCAACAATTTTTAAAATCCTTTACAATATTCACTCACTAAATACACTTATGAAATTTATCATGAGTGTGAACAAGGCTTTACCCAGGAAAGCTACTTATAACTGAAAATTGCAATCTATCTAGATTACAAAGAGAGTAAATGGCTAAGTAAACTACAGTATTTCTACTTAATGTCTACATTTAAAATGGTGCAATTGAGAAAAAATGATGTAAAAAGATGCTCTTGTATATTGTTAAGTTAAAAAAATTTAAAACTCTAATAGAAGTATATAACTTCTTATATAGGTGTACACACAGAGAAAGACAATCTGGAGGGATATACCTAAAAATATCACAGTGGTTATTGCAGTGTGGTAGAATTACAAGAGATTGTAATTTCTTTCTTTTACATTCTTCTATGTACCCATCCTTAATTTTCTGCAATAAACATGAACTGTTTTTATGATAATTGTTTAATTTGTTTTACAAAAAGAATTTGTTCCTAGATTTCTTTTCTGTGTTCACTTTTAAAGGTGTTAGTGTTTGGAGGTCTGTAGGACACCTCAGAATGAATGGTTTTTTTCTCTCTGTGACTGGAGTTTGGGCTGATTCACCCAGTGTTCATTAAACAGAAAACCATAAGCAGGCATCTTCTAGGTGCTAACTAAGGAAGAGGTCTGGCCTCTGTCAGCAACAAGTTAAATTGTCAATGGAAACATTTGACCTTTAATATTTATGTATGTATTGAGTCTGGATCTCTTTCTGTCATCCAGGCTGGAGTGCAGTGACACAATTGACTACGCCTCACCACAGGCTTGACATCTGTTCTCAGGTGATCCTTCCACCTCAGCCTCCCAAGTAGCTGGAACAACAGGCATGCACCGCCATGCCTGGCTTATTTTATTTATTTATTTTATCTTTTGTAGAGACAAGGTCTCACTAGGTTGCCCAGGCTGGTCTCAAACTCCTGGGCTCAAGTGATCCTCCTGCCTTAGTCTACCAAAGTGATAGAATTACAAGCAGGAACCACAATTCCTGGCCTGATTTTTATGTTTTGTAAACTTGCATTACTATATACTTGCCTTGACTTAGAATAGTGTGTACTTTGACTGTTGTTTTCTTTTAAAAAATTAATTTTAATCTATTTAAAATGCAATTTAACTTAAGCTGTTAGAGCATTGCCTGTTTCTAGTAAATGATTAATAAATATAGATAGATGCTTCCTTGAATTTATATCAGTAATCATAAAATAATCTCTCAGATTTTGGGGTTTTTTTTTTGAGTTGGAGTCTCACTGTCACCCAGACTGGAGTGCAGTGGCCACTCCCGGCCACTGCAGCCTCCACCTGCTGGGCTCTGGGGATCCTTCCACCTCAGTCTTCCAAGTAGCTGGAACTATAGGCACGCGCTACCACGCCCAACTAATTTTTTTGGATTTATTGTAGAGATGAGGTCTCACCTGCACAGGCGGGTCTCGAACCCGCGGGCTCAGGCAATCCACTCACTTCAGCCTCCCAAAGGCACAGGATTGCAGGCTGAGCCACCAAGCCCGGCAATCTATCAGTTTTAAATGTCTGTATAGACCAGGCATTTGTTTATTCCCTGGCATAGCAATGATGAGATATGAATTCGTTTTATGATTCACAGAATTCCCATGGGCCCATGGTGATATGGGTGATTGAAACCAAGCCAATTAATGTTTTAATCCTTTCTGTCCTTCAGGAAGAAGTGGAATTAAAACCTATGTTTTTGTTATTTAGTATTTGTTGCACTGAGCTAAGATTATAGACAGAATGTAAAATTAGATCCTGGCTAAAAGAATTTCTAATCTAAATTAGACAGATATGCAGGATACTGACTTTGGGAAACAAATTGTAGAAGTGACAACTTGGTGAAACACTCAGGAACAAACCAGAAAATCTAAACAGAAATAGTAAAGTTCTCTATTACTAGAAACTGCTGGTAATAAATTAAGGCATAGAACTAAAAGGTCAATTTCTGATTCTAGCTCCATCCTGAACTTCTTGCATAATTTTGAACACAGGACCTCTCTTCACTCTACATTACTTCTCGTATCTTCAAAATGGTTCAACCTTTACAGAAAAGACGGGGTGATATGTGATATAATAAATATAAAACACTCTAAGTTCCTCAGTATAAAGTTTCCATAACAAAATGAAATAAAAATAGGGATACACTCTGTGAATTGCATCTGATTGTCTAGCTTATAAAGCAAGAAAATTAGGGGCTGAAATTTCATATTTTGGAAGGATTTATTTCCAAAATGATTAGAAAAAGGATATAACCAGTATGTTTAAAATAAATCCATCTACAAAAATTTGAATCATACACGTCTTTTGGAAAACATCTTGTACTATCCGAAGTTATACTTTTCTGGATATAATTAATACCCAACACATAAGGCAATTCTTTAGAATAAGTAATGTGTTAAATCAATGGTACTCAGAGATATGTGACATTTGGGCCATTGATAACAATAAATTATCATTAAGTGATAATTGTATATGTTAATTAATAATAATTTATCTTTAAATGATCATTAACAAAAAAGCCATAGAACTGTTATATGCCTTTTAGATACTGTGTGTAATATTAAATACATCTTCTAATATAGAAATTGGAAGTCTTAAACATCCGTAAATTTCAGGCAAAGGAGTCACATGTGCTCTCTCCTATTAAAGTGAATGCTTAATGCAGAAACATTTTGTGAGACACTGGATTAAAGACCCTAAGAACTAAAAGTGATTGCAATGTAAATAATTAGTATGGAGATACAGACAATTTCAGAATACAAAAAAATATATATTTCAAAACAGTTGTCTGTTATATTGAGATAAACTACTGCTCAAAATCATGGATTTGATTACAAACGTGGCTGGGATTATCTTGAGGACAAGATGGAAGATATGGTAGTGAGAAATTTCCCAAGGTGGTTGAAAGAAATGCTGTGTACTGCAAGATTATATTGCATAAATAACATTTTAAAAAGGTGCAATGTGAAGTCATGCTTCCAAGTTCAATGACAGAATATCCTTACTAAAAGAATATCTATGGCTAATATTGGGAACACCAGATGGGCCAATGTCAAAAAAGGGTAGGATAAAAAGATGAGCAGGTTACTTCCTTTCTTCCATTTAAATAGACCCAGCACATACCTAAGGAAACTGATTCTGAAAGTATGGGGAAAAAGCTGCAGTTGTTGGCTTTCATGTTCAGCATTCCTCTGGGACTGCCTCTTAACTTATATGCCGTACTACCTCTCTCGCTCATGCCCCTAACTCTGCAGACCTTATTTTAAGCCAGTAACTCTGCTTTTCATTTTTGAAGCTCCTCCAATCATTGATTTTTTTATGATTTCATTATTCACCCAAGACCTCATGCACCATAAGTCATGAGTAGAAGGCACTTACTCTTGTTCCCTGCTGTAGCCCAGAAAGAACTACACCAATATGATTATGCCCTGCCTAAGCACTATTTGATTATGGAAAGAGATATGACTTGAACTCAAGGGAAAGGTTTGGAATAAAACCCAGCAAGACTGGAGCACGTATCTTACCATATTCATATAGCTGTTGACTGTTGGCCATCTCTCTACTATAGCTGTGACAGATAGAGTCTGGCTATATTACAATTAATGGTACAAAAAAGGTTCTGAGGAAATATTTGATGAAAGGATAGATGCATGAATAAATAAATTATTGCAATCACCAGTTACAAGATATAAGATTGACACACTGGTTTTTACGGGTGTGCATGAAATTACAAAATATGATGAATCCTTCATTAGTAGAATGTGTTTCATGAAGATTTTCATATATATTTATTTCAAGAACAAACAAAACAAAACAAGGAAACAACCCAGCACATCTCCTTGTCATCACTTTTCAAACATCTGTGGTTTAAAAACAGCTTTGAAAATAGTTACTTGCCTTGACTAAGGTTTGATTTCTGCTGTATAAGCAATAAAGTATTCTAAATCCTTACATACCAGTACTACCCTCATAGAGGGCAATTAATACAAATATCAATTAGGCTCAATTCTTCTCCCCCTTTCTGGTTCTCATTGGAATATGTAGATGTACCTTCAACTCAAAACATATTCAAAATAAAGAAAAAAAACAGAAGTAACAGATGCATCATCCAAATTTCCTGGATAATAGAACTGCACGCCAGCAACCCTCAGTAAGAATGTATACAGAAACGGTTGATGGAAGCAGCATGGGCTGGCATATAAAACGCTTCCCGTTTAGCAGGAGAAAATATCCTAAATACAGTGCTTCTTTCTCCGTCAGCTGGTGCTCAATGTTTGTATTTCTTCAGATTGATAAGCTGGAGGTGGATAGCTTGTTTAGCAACATTGAATCCGTGCATCAGATATCAGCCAAGCTGCTTTCGTTGTTGGAAGAGGCCACAACAGACGTGGAACCCGCCATGCAAGTAATCGGTATGTTTATTCTCTTCTCGAGTTCTACAATACAACAGGAAGTAATATTTTAATAACCTCCCTTTGATTTGGTTTTATGTTTCTGACTTACCACGCTTCCCAGGAGATATATAAATGCCAAACCCCTCTTCAGGCTCATTGTAATTACACAAACTCTGTATTTATTTTCAAATGGGTTTGCTTCCATTTGCTGAAGTCCCTCAGAAGCACAAAACACACCATTTGCTTTTGAATTTCCAATCTTTCACTCTCTTCGCCTTCCAGATGTTCTTTAATTTTTTTAATGACTAACACTAACTTGATCCTTAAAGAATTAATTATTTAAATATTTTAATGGCTTTACTGATTTTAGTTATTTTTTTACATTTTATGTTCATAAATCATTTGCTTTTTAGATTGTAAATTTTTACATGGAGTTTACGATTTATAAAAAAAGACCTAAGTTCTATTTTTTTCATGCTTTCTCCCTTTTTCTTTACCATTTGCTTTCTAAATATGTTTTTCCACTCAGACAATCATAGACATGTTTATTCTCTTACTCTGGTAAGATTTTCAAAAATAACAATCGATAATATAATTTGAAAAGCATTGAGTCAAATTTTTATTCTCTCCCTTTCTTGGGAATTTCCGAAGGAAACTGTGCTGTAAACATCTTGAAGGCAGTGTGCAAATTTAAGATATTGTACAAATAGTATTATGCAGGCTAAGAATTCTTTTTAAAATTATAATCTTTCTATTTCATATAAAATATACAATATACGCTCATTACAAAAATATTAAAACAATTCAGAAGCACATAGAGTAATAGTAAAAAATATTTTTCACATACCTCTACAATGTCACTGTCTTCCCCACAGATTTGAGGTGGATCCTTTCTTTGAGCTATGCACATATAAACATTAAAAACCACCTCATATCTTTGCTGATTATGTCTTTGTTACCTTTTATTTGTGAGTTATAAAGTTGACATGAAATTGGTCTCATTTAGTATTTATGGAAGCCTAAAGTTTAGTAAGCCAGGCTGATATTCTAGAAAAGTGAAAGAATTGACTTGACAAGTTGCAGTTTTTACAGACTTAAAGGTCAGACTACTGAAAAAGTGTTCTCCCACAGACAGATTCAAATTTAATTGTTCTTTGTCATTAAGCAGCCTTAATAAATTGTAAAAATACATTCTAAAAGGAGGACTCCACTCATTACCACTTTAGTATGGATTAATTGACCATTTATTTATTAATTCAATGAATTGTTATAAAGTAGCAGCGTATTCAAATGATAAGGTGCTGTCTATCATTTTGGGATATCAAAAGATAAAAAAAATCAACTCTGTTCTTCAAAAACTTTCAATCAAACAGTTCCTTGAACTGAAGATATGTGCGTAATATACTATCAGAGTGGTTTTTACACAACTGAAGGATCTCAGAGGATAAAGAGAATATTTCTAGATGAAGAATCAAAGAAGGATTCTTGAAATGTTACTTTGGCTTAAAGGTATAGGTAAGATTTCCACAAGTAGGGTGCAGGTTGGGGAGAAGATTCTAAATTGAAATGACAGCATACACTACAAATGCCAAAGGCCAAGTCTGTTTACGAAATGGTGAGTGACCAAACTGGAATAAATAACTGATGTAAGAGAGAAGTGAGAAATTATTCTGGAAGTGCAGAACAGGTACAGACTGCACTTGGAATTGAAGTCTGGAATTTGCTCTACAGGTAGTGAGGAGACTTTGAAAGATTTTTCAGAAAGGGTGTGATGAGACCCAAGTTTCTGGAGAAAGAAAAGTATGGTAGGTATGAAGAGAATGGATAGAAGAAGAAATTGAGTCCTAGACTGGTAAATAAGTTGTTATAAATAACATAGGCATAGGGTAACAAGCATCTATGCTGCGGTGGATACAGTGACAATAGAAAACAAGATGTCATTTCAAGAGATGTGTAGAAGAAAGTATAAACAAGATGTAGTGGTTAGATCATATGGTGAAGTCAAAGACAATTCCAGGTTTGAGGTGACTATGTATCCTGGTTTGTCTAGAACATACTGGTTTTAGCCTATTGTGTAAGCATTTAGTCCAATATAACATTTGTCCTGGATTTTTCCTTTTTAAAGAAGTTTCATTTTTAATTTCATTACAAGAGGTTTTATGAGACCTTTACATTGCCCTTCAACTTCTGACATAGTCTCTTTTAGTGGTGTAAGGGAATGTGTACAGTTAATAGAGTTATCATTATAACATCTGGTAAACTCTGAAACATAGCTTACCTCTATTTTCCCAACATTTTCTAGTTTCAAGAAAATGTACATCTTCTTTTGAATGGCCACATAATGGCATATTTCACTGGCTGATGATATAATGGCATTTGGACACGAGCAACTAGAAATAACTGACGCCTTCCTGTTCTGGTGGTACTGGGAGATGTATTTGATGCTACAGACCCTGCCATCCACTAAGTGCAGCAGCCAGCTGTGTCATAATCCATGGAGGGTGCCCTTGCCATGGCCTGGGAGAGGCATGAAACCACCAGGATGCCCATGAATGGGATTAATGAAACATTATAGAAATGAAATATGCATGGAAAATAGAAGCTTAATAGTTCAGCTACAGAGCTTCTGGATTCTCTTGCTATAGTAATTTGGTTATCTTTTGCATGATATAAATCTACAACTGCAACTCTTTTTTATTGTTTGATTATGTGTTATTTTATTTTGGGTTAAACCCTTTCGAAAGCAAGGGGTGTTTAATAAAAAATATTGATTTTCTATTTCTCAAGAAAGTTGATGATGAACATATAACATACAAAAATACCATCCACCAAAGGGTCACAACTGCTATCACTGACCATGAGACAACCAGAAGACAGATGTTGTCTATGTCAAAAGTTAGTCACTATTTTTAAAAGCTATGCTCAAAGTAAGTGATTTTACACATACAGCTGCTTAAGGTGTGTTTTCAGACCACTCCATGCAGCATGACTTTTTGTTTAGGTCAAATAACAGTTATCCTAAAAAATTTCATTCATTTTTCATTCCGAGTTTCCTTGGACTTATGAGAAATGTAAAGCAGTGGCTACTAATGAGTTGGCACATTAGCAGAAGAGTTTTATAGTTTAATGATGACAGTTGTATATCTGTGTGAGCAGATGACTCAAACAGGCAATCAGTTCATTCCAACAGTGGTTCAAATTTTTAAAATCCAAATCACAGGACCAAAGGAAAGTTTTTGGAAATTTATTGTGTTGAAGGTGAATTATCTGACTTTATTGTAAATGATACTATTAGTTTAATTTAAAACTTAAACATTGTGAATGCAAATGATAGCATGAATACAAAAAGGGTATAGCACAGCATCACAGTAGAGCAATGTTTGTATTAAAATAAAAATCTATGGAGCAGAAGCATACTTGAAAATGAAAAATGATTGTGATGTATATAAAATGAAGCTGTGGTATTTTATTAATTGAAATGAAAACTATAGCAAAGTTTCCACATACTTTTATACACACAAAATTAGAATAACTATATCTGGAGGATAAAGTTGATGCTGTTTCAAAACTAATCTTATGCATGACAGTACACACTTTCTTTGCTGCTGGTCCTTAATCAATTTTTAGAAACGTTCGATTCTTTGAAGTACCACTTTATAAATCAACAAAAGTGTCCCACAATAGCATTGGGCTATTTTTGTAAACAAGGCCTCTGAAATTAAGTTGCAAGTTGTTGAAAACTCAGTTGGAAGTCCTTAGCTAATCTTAGCTAAGGGAGGGAACATAACTTCAGATGTTTAATTTTTAACAAAAAACAAATTATTGAAAACACAATTGCAAACAGGAAGACACTGAAATGAATCCCTATGAAAACAAGGACAAGGTTTTAAAAAAATTAAACAATGAGAGCGCATGTGTAAAATATTTAATTTTGAAAGTCTATAATTGCACTTTGGAAAATCTGACTCTTGGAAAGAAGATTTTGATGGAGCTCTTCATTAACAGGATAAAGTTATAGTCTCTGAGCCAGATTTTACAATATCTACATTTGGGAAGATATTCAAAAATTTTAAGTAGGTACAACTTTTTTGGTTAGTTTTTTACAAAAAAAGGAAGAAAATAATCAAAATGGAGGAAGTATTTCAGCTACAATATGTACATGTTTTGATATATATAGATAATTAGAATCTTAAGGTCCTCCACTTATAATTTTCTCTGAGCTTATTAGATACCTCTGTGCTTATAGAAAGAGTATTTTCTCAACTTAAAATATTATAGTTTATAAATTTCAACAATAAAACAAATAATGCTGGAATTGAATTATAACCCACAAAATTAGATAAATATGTTAGATAAATATAAATTAATCCATAATGATATAAATAAATGGGAAGAAAGGATAGCTCTTCCTTAAATTTTTAATTAATATATATAGAGGGAAAGAGGAAAATAGAAAGTCACCTTTGGACAAACACCAGTCATAATTGTGTCAAACAAAAATCTGATCTTTGCTAGGCTTAGTTGGTGCAAGTTAAAAGAGAAATATGTTTTTCATAGTCTCAAAGTTTCTCAAGTAATGACTAATCTGAAAGGGAAAAGATGGTAACTTCACAGTATGAGGCCCAACAGAGACCACCTTAACCAAGTAATCAAAGTCAACAACACTAGGAAATAACACATACTCACATTATAAACGTGTTGTGTGCCACAAGGGACACAACATCCTATCTGCGGTACTTTTGCCCAAAATCTGTATAATCATGGCCAATAACAAGAAAATATTGGATATCATCAGACAAGCCCAAAAGAAAGGCACTTGACAAAAAAACTGATCAATGCTCTTCTGAAGTATCAAGGTCATTAAAGAGAAAGCAAGACAGGAAATGTTACAGACTGCAGGAAACTAAGGAGGAGTAACAAACAAACACAAGCAGGATCCTGGATAAAGCCTGGATTAGTGAAACAACATTAGTGTTGAAATTCAAATAAGGAGCTGGCTCGGTGGCTCAGCCTGTTAT